TAATAATTTAAATAAAATTATTTATTTTTTATAATTTTTTTACGATATATTTTTATAATTATATAATTTAATTTATTATATATTAAACAACAATTGGCCGTTATTGATTTGCGGGTTAAACGAAAGATGCGCATTATTTTTTTATGTTTCTCATAAATCAATCTGTATTCTTCATTTTCTCTTCTTGTTTTGCTATTGCATGCAAATCGACTATAATCTAAAATATAAACTGAAAAATGAAGACACATGTCAGCACTCTTTTGCAAAAACAATATTTCGCGTTCTCGTCGTACATTTATCGTTGAAAACGATTACTCAAATTGACTTTGTATAGTTTTTATCTATTTTGAAATTACATAATTTTAACATTTTAAATAAATTTTCAACACAATGTGATTTGAACGATCGCATTGAGTACTAAATACAGATGATAATGTAGAATAAAATATATTTTACACTGGACGTTTTGTGAGTGCATACGATTTCTGTAATAACTATGTTTTGTAAATTATGATTTTTTAATTATAATACAATATTTTCTACCACAAGAATGATGTAGTTCATTCATCAAGGCTTTTTAATAATTTTTTTGTGCTTGACGTATCGCTACGCTTGAAAATAAAATTAAAAATAAAATATGAAATAAAAAAACAAGACATATAATGAAATTATATAATTAATTAATTAATTATACTCATTTTTTGCAAATACTCGTTTCTAATCTCAGTTCTATTTCGAGCGTTTGATATGAAATACGTGTTATGAAATACTGAGCATTATGTTATTAGTAACTTTGTTTGCGCTTATCAGTTATTTACCAGTTTAAGTTGCGTCACGCAATCGCTGTTTTTGCTATTCTGCAATTTACTTGTTTTATTAATATGATTATTTTTATCGCATCTTTTTTTGCTGTAGATAGTTCTATCTACTATATATACTATATAGCCTGTTCAATCAACATTAAATGGTGATCTTGTACATTTAGCGATAAATATGCATGATTAAACAATTTTGGTTTTTCAAACAAATCAAACGTATATATTAGAAAGTAGAATTTCGAAATAAACCGTCAAAAGAAAGAATGCAATTAACGTAGTTAATGTTGAAATTAATGTTTTTTTAAATGATTCGATATTGGGGTGTTCGATTGTTCTAACTATAGTTCAAATTGAAATTCCGATACGGGAAAATCAGATATGATTATCTAAGCGTTGTACCGACTCGCAATTAGACAACTGCAATTTAGCCCGAAATAGGATCAAGAAGTTACATTATAACGAAGTCAGACGATTAAATCGTGCGAATAGTGCAACAAAGATCCTTTTTGCATGCACGTTATTATCGTAGATCTACAATGAGAAGGAAATTGATGTTTAACTTGATTCTAATCGAGTCTAATCGCTCATCAATTTGGATTAGCTAGCAAGAGGCGTTTTCGAAAAAAAAGAGGAGTATAACCGCGTGTGTATAACCGCGAGAATATAAAGTTGATGCATTCGGGGCAAACATGAGAAATAGCTGTTACTTACAATTATAATTATTTTACCGATCGGGGTTTGATGGATGTAACATCCACTGACGTTTAGCGTTTAAACTTGTTGAAACCTTGAAGCAATTTAGTAAAAGATTGTAAAACAATAGAGACAACAATTTCGAGATCTTTTCAAATGTATCTGGAAGAATCTGTCGTAAAAAATCGGCCGAACTAAGCGAATGAGTGGTGAAATCAGCGCAAAGCGGGTGGCTGAGGGTGGCTACGATGTGGATTAGGTGTTGGCGTGCAGAGATCGGGGCTGCGCAGAAGCGGGGGCAGCGACGGGGCCGGGGGCCGATACTACTGCAACCATCGCGGTGATAGACACGACAGCGACCGAGTTCAGAGGGCCTCCCCTCGATCACCACCCGAACATCGTGACGTTCCATCATCGGGGTACACTGGACGCCCGCGCTACCGCACCCTCGCGTCATGACACAAGGTACTTGGACGGGGAACTTGATCCAGAGCTCGAACACCTCACGTAGAAATATAAATGATCTTCAAATATCCCGCGGATATATTTCTGAGAATTTTCAAAATCCGTCTGGAATTGATCCGCGTGAAAACGTACGAGAGTAAACGTGCTCGAGGCGTCTCGGAAGTATATACTTAATGTTTTCTTCTCTTTATCTCTAGCGTTTTATTTTATATGATATATCGTAAAAGACAAATCATTTTTCCTTACATTTCAAAGAAATATCTGTTACACAGCAATACCAATATTTATTTTATACGATTAAAACATGATAGGTTTTAAGTAACAATTGTAAAAATTGAATCTTAAGATATCATATTTCCATACGATATATGCAAAAGAAAAAAAATGCTATTTTTTCTTTTTGCAAGGAAAATCAATTTTCATATATGAAAATATGATTCAATCTTAAGATTCAATTTTTATAATTGTTACTTGATATGATACTATTATATATACTATTATATATA